CCTTTCCATTGGGAGTAAGCCTCCTTTTTGGCAAGGAGACATTCCCGGATGTTTTTAGTGAGCCATGGAGGCTTATATGCTCTCCTGCCTCCTTTGACCCTCCTGGGGATTACCTTCCTCTGGGCTTGGAGGATCGTCACCACACGGTGCAGTTAACCCCTTGACCACTTCCTCACATTGGCAGCTCATGTCCACCCTGGAGTCAACAATGACTCCAAGATCCCTTTCTGTCACCGTGTTGACAAGAAGGGAGTTCCCCAACCTATAGGTGTGTTGCTGGTTCCTTCTCCCCAGGTGCAGCATCTTGCACTTGTCTGTGCTGAATTCCATCCTGTTCTCATCCACCCACCCCTGTAACCTGTCTCGATCTAGCTGGATTCTGTCCCTTCCCTCCAGCGTGCTCACCTCACCCCACAACTTGGTGTCGTCAGTGAATTTGGACAGCGTGCTTTCCACCCCCACATCCAGATCACTGATAAAGATGTTGAATGCTACAGGCCCCAGGACTCAGCCCTGGGGGGACTCCACTGCCCACATCCCTGCAGGTCAAAAATGACCCATCCGCCACCACTCTCTGGGTGCAACCATCTAGCCAGTTTGCCACCCATCTGACTGTGTAGGCATCAATGCCACAGTCACCATTTTTTTTTTTAAGAGAATGAGGTGGGAAACCATGTCAAAGGCCTTCTTAAAGTCCAGGAAGGTGACATCCACCCCAACACCCTTGTCCAGGGACTTTGTGACCTGATCATAAAAAGAAACCAGGTTAGGCAGGACCTGCCCTCAGTGAACCCATGTTGGTTGCCCCTAATCATTACCTCCCATGCTGGGCCCTTGCAGATGTGCTCCTTGATAATTTTCTCAAAGGTCTTCCCAAGGACCAAGGTAAGACTGACTGGCCTATAATTGCCAGGGTCCTTTCTCCCCTTCTTGTAAATGGGGACCACATTGGCCCTTTTCCAAGGTTCTGGTACTTGGCCTGACACCTTAGATTGACCTGCCTATGCAGGAGGGTTTTTGTTTTAAGAGGAGTGGAGGCTGTATAGACCTTCCATTCCCCCTTTAGGCTACAGACAGAATCCAAAGTCCAGATGTTTGGTGCCTCCATGACTCTATTTTTTTTTTTTTAATAAGTGCCCAGGAATTGAACTCAGGTCTCTTATGTGGCAGACAAGGATTCTGCCACTGAACCCCAGATCCTTGCTATGATGGAATAGAAACAAACACAGAGAGGAATGGGGCATGCCCACTGTCAGTCAGTGAATCGGCATCAAGACAGAGTCGGAAACAGATCCAGGGAACCTGAAGATCTTCCATTACTTCAGCAGCTGTCAGTGATTCCTGGAGCTGGGGCATAAGATGTGCCATGTGAAATTCATTAATGAAGGCCCTTGAGGTGGCTTCGGTCAGCAACCTCATGTCTATTTTCCTTGCCAACCATCTCCTCCTCTCACTACGTTGACCAGGGCTCTCCCCTGACACTCCAAGACAGTGGACACTTTGGTGGTTCTGCCACTTCCAGGAAGTACACAGTCTCACTGCCTAGCCTCGTTGTGCCCCCATCCTGTCTCACCTTATGCCCTTTCTCACATGCTCCACCTTATTCTATCTTCTGTAATTTTCTTCCCCATCTTTAACTCTGCCTCTTGCTTCAAGTGGGTTCAGTTTGGACTGTAAATTCACTGGGGTAGGGACAGTGTCTTTTAAGGATTTAAAGTGCCACATGTGGTTCTGGTAGTGCCATGTTCTGGCCTTTGGGAGAGGTTAGTCCAGGCAACAGACCTGAGACCTGGTAACCAGTCTTCCATATACAGAGAATGGGCCAATGTATCATGTGGGGCTATTTTTAACAAGGTGAACAGAGTGTTGCCTTACTCAGCTCCCCTGGACCCTGATTTTTCCTTGGCTCAGATACCTCACTGATTGTGCTCAATGACATCACAATCCAGAGCACTGGTTTAGGCTCACATCCTCTCCCAGCAGCAGTGGGCAGGACAGAAGAGCCCCTATGTTGGCTTGTACCTGGATTGACGCACACGGGGCTTCAGAAGGTGACCAGACTCAAGCCTTTCGATCCTGAATAGGTGATTGTCAGCGTTTTCATGGTAACTCAGCAACTGATTGCTTGGTTCTAAGGGTCTGGAGTTTACTCCAAGCCCCTGAGTCCATTGAGACTCTTCAGAGACAGACACCAACTGTAATATTTCCTACCCTGGGGCTTGGGTAGTAAGCATTTAAGCTGTCAAGACTCCTTGTGATTAGTCAGATAAAATGTGCTTGTCCTTTCTTGTTAAGAATTTGCATTCTGTTAATCCCAAACATTGTGCAAATGCCTGGAAATCTTAGGCCATGCTCTGAAGATTTTACAGACTAAGATGCCAAACAAGAGGAGAAGAGATGGAGCTAACTTTAAAAAATAGGCATTAGGTGCCAGCGCTCTCCCCAAAGAATAAACCTCCTTCTGAGTGAGTCGGAAGAAGAAAGGTTAAGACTGTGGATTAATTTAGAGATTGTCGTCTTTGAAGAAGTGACACTGGGCATGACTACATGAGACGTTTACTGCATGGCTGACTAATTAGCGGCACAGTAACCATTTGCATCCCTATTAGGCTGGAGTAAACTAACTTAGTCTGCAGCAGGATAGTACTTGTAAATACAAGTCTGTTCTGCTGCAGAGTAAAAAAAAACTCTGCAGCAGCACTCAGGGCAATCCTTTAAAGGATTTAGGTGGCTATGTTCAAAATTGTGATCCAAAAAAATCTCACTCCGCTGCTGCCTGATAAGTGTCTGTAAGACCCTAGAGTTGTGCTTCTGCACTTGCCAAGAAGTGCTCTTGATGTGAGCAGCTTATCACCTAGCTCCTGTCTATGCCCAAGCAGGACCCATAGATCCTGGCATTCCTCTGCCTACCTTTCCTAAGGGGCTTGACCCAACAGCACTCCCAGAGCATGGTTAGCAGATGCTGACAATACCAGGCTCCACACAAAATGCTGTAGTAGCTATTTTCACCAGCTGGAGGAAGAGGTGCTTCTGTCCACCTCCTAGGCAGACCCTCCTGGGCACTGCTGGGGGTGGGGATTGGGGCTCAGGGATTGCAGCTCTGTGGGGAAGGCTCCCTTTATGGCACATAGGGAGCCTGAAAGAATTGCCAAGAAGCGTTATGACATGCAGTGAGGAGTTAATCAGACCAGCAGCTGGTCTGGGTTGGCCTGGCCATGAATTGGGGCCAGAAGAACACAGCGGGTGATGGTGTGCGAATGTGGAGAGAGAGGCACGGGCAGGGACATGGGAGAGGAAGCCTGGAGCAAGGGTGGGAATATGGTGAACAGGAAATGATTGGGCATGTGGGGCCAGGGCTGACCACTTAGGGGGAGTGACAGCAGTTGGGAAGGAGCTGACTCCAGGAGTCTTCTCTCCTCCTGGATCAATTCTATAGAAAATAACAGCATGTAAAAGCTCTTGCTTCCCTCCCGACATACCAGAACTCCCTAGCAGGAGGGTTAAGGGCTGCCTTGTGACAGTGTTCACAGATTTTTACTCCACAGATGGAAAAATTCATGCAGATTTAGCATGGTGGCCCACCAACCAGCAAGCCTTCCTGCAGCGAAGCAAAGCCAACAGCAAATGGAAAGGGACAGGTACTAATCTCGTTGCCTGGCTGCTGGAGCAGAGCAGCATTTCTTCTCGAGACTGCCACCAAGGAGCCCTCTGCTCTGGAGCCTCAAGTGATGGACGGTTTGTCAGAGCCACCAGCGGAGAAGCCCTTGGCAAAGGAGTGTTTAGAAGAGCCTGTGGAGCAAGGGCTGGTTGGCAGGACTCACTCCTATGTGTTGTACATTGGAAATTTGAATCCCAAATACTCCCAGGAGGTCCTCCGCAGCATGCTGAAGGACATCCTGGGCACAGCCACCATCACCTTGCAAAGGCATGACATTGAGGTGGTGAAGAAACCACGACAGGCCTACGCATTTGTTCAAGTAACAACTGAGATGGACCTCGAGTGCATCCTGAAGCAGCTCCTGGTCACCTCAGAGATGGAGCAGGAGCTGGTGAAGGAGCTTGTGATGAAAGGGAAAACGCTGGTGGTGGGGGATGGCAGGAAAGGATCACCTAGTGCAAAGGAGTGCAGGGAGGTAGGTGCCACCACATGGCTGTCAGTCTGTGGGACCAAAAGGGGCAGGCATGAGGGTAGGGGAAAGAAAACAGCCTGAGTGGGCTGACTGGGAAGGGTGGGGCTGGTGCCCTTAATAGTGCCAGGAAGCAAAGCAGAGGGGAACCTGACATCCACAAGTTTCCCCAGTGCATAGAGAGCAATCCTCAGTGCCTCCTTCTGAGCTCAATACCCCTTCCCTTTTGGAAAGCAGCATTGCACCTCCCAAGTTGCCTCACCCAAAGCCTGAGCACACCTCAGGGCTTGTCCCCCTTGCACAGCCTGAATGTTAGTTGGGCCTGGCAGCATGCTCTGTCTGGCTTAGCTCTGGAGTGGGGCGCAACCTTTCCACCAGCGCACCTGTGTGCCCTGTTGGTGATGTCCCCCTTCATGGGACTGCCACTCCCACTTATGCTGAGACATACCAAAAGGGAAATCTGGTCCCCGCATATGGCAGCATGAGCTTTGGGAGTAACACAGACCCACCTCCATCCACCCTGAGGAGGTAACTATTACCTTTCTCAGGTTACTCCTTGGTGGTTGCCTTCCAAAACACTTAGGAACTCAGTTACAGATCATTGCCAGCATCCCTCGCTCATTCAGCCCCAGGAGCGGGGGACAGTGCAGCAAGAGGTGGGCAAACCATTGTATAAATAGCCATAAAAATATTGCCAAAATGTTCACTCTTTTCCCCAAGCTGATAGAAAAATCAAGCTAACTCATCTCTTAGAATATGGACTGCGGGGAAGAGACCTGCATTGCTCAGGCAGATGGAAGTTGAGAGTCTAACACGTCCCACTTTTACCTTACACCCTGGCTCCACTTCTCCCTCCCCTCCCAGAGGTCAGAGGGGAATTTCCTACATTTTATGACTAAAAGGAATCAGTGTGACCCTCCGCTCTGAGCCCACCAGAGAGCAATATCAAATGGACTCTGAATCTAAGCCACTAACCTGGGCTTGAGATTCAGACCAGGCTTCCCACTCTGCTTGTAGAGCAATTGTGAACATGACCACCATGGGGTTGAGAGCCAGTTCAGTGACTCAAGATCATGCGTGCTCTGTTCACAGTAAAAAGATGCGCTCGCTTAATGCAGCACTGCTGGCTCCCTTGGGACCTGATAGTCAAGCTGGGTGGTATTGTCCTCTGCCATTGCCACCAGTAGTAAAGGCTTCACACTGAAACGTATGGGCTTGTGCAGAAGAAAGGGGTGAGCACAAACTACACCATTCAGCAGATGACACACAGGAAGGCATCACTGCCAGTTCCCTCTCATGGGCTGTGCTGGTCCTGCTGGGCTTAACTGCAACCAAGTGTGCAGACCCTGAAGTTGGCAGCTGTGATGCACAGAGAGGACGGGGCCCTTTCTACTCCATCCTTTGCTGCAGCAGGCTTGCTTTTGTGGGGTGCCGTGGGTTATTTCCAACAGAGGATAATTGGTAACTGTTTAGATACCTGAGTAAAATATTTCTTTCCTGCATAGTCCTTCTCTGAAAACAGGAAGACTTGGGCAGTAGAACAGTGTTTCTTTGTGAAGTTTCGAGCCTCTTTTAGCCAGTAGTTAACCCCAAATCTCCCTCTCTTGGCTTCCTAGCAGATCTTGTAGGGATTCTCCTGTTTCACTGAGGTTTAATCCAGTCCACAATGCAATTGGAATAAGAAAGCCTGCATGTGTCAAAGAATGGCTATTCAGGCTGGGGGTCTCTCCTGTGCTGCGGCTGTCTCCTCAAGTGTGTAATATTTAGTATTTCTGGTTTTGCACAGAATGACTCAGAAGTGAACAGCGCCAGCCCCTTGCAGTGTGCTGAATCTGACAGGCGCAGGATACAAAGGGCAGAGGAAGACCAGGCCAGCCACAGCCAAGAGATATCCCTTCACACCCGGAAGCAGGCAGAGCGGCCATCAGCATTTCTGAGTGGCACCAGGTCCGACAGCGCCATTGTCCGGAGGGAGATCGTGGGCCAGGAGCGCTTGTTCTATGGGGCATTCATGGGCAGTGAAAGCAGGAATGTGGAATTCAAGCGGGGCAGCGGGGAGTACCTGAGTGGGACCCTCAAGTACCACGTCCGGAAGTATGCGTGTGCCTTTCTCAACAGCGAAGGAGGCAGCCTGTTTGTTGGGGTGGAGGACAGTGGCTTTGTGCATGGGGTCAGGTGTGGGCATAAGGAGGAGGATCGCGTCCGTTTGCTCATCGATTCCATTCTGAAAGGGTTCAAGCCACAGGTGTTCCCCGATGCCTACGCTTTGACCTTCATCCCAGTGATCAAAGCCGAAGACACGGGGATCTTCCTGAAGGTGGTCCGGCTCAGCATCCACCCACCCCGACCACAGGGAGAAGTGCTGCTGTATGAAACGGACCAGGGAGAGGTGTACCTGCGCAGGGATGGCAGCATCCAGGGGCCGCTCTCTGGAAGCGCCATTCAGGAGTGGTGTAGGCAGGTAATGGATGGTCAGTGCTGGGCTAGCACAGAAAATGTCTTACTAAAGCCAGGGCAAACCTGAGTTGCAGCCAAACTCATACTGGATGCTTCCCTGGAGCCCCACACGTTGAAGGGCTGATGGGATGAAATTCATCCCTGGGCAGAGGTCAGCACAGGGATGAATTTCACAAGAGATGCAGCAATTCCCAAAGTGAGTGGGACCTCATCCTTCAGCTTAGCCTAGGAGAGATGTTCTCAACTGCCACTCCTTGCTAATCTATCAAATCATAGACACTGGGGGTATGTGGTTAAAGACCCTTCCTCACCATGCCAGCTTCTCCGTGTCCAGTGATATTTGCCCCTTGCTATTATCTTTTGCCTTTTGCACAAGAAACATCAAATGAAAGAACCACCTGGGCACAAGGATTATTCAGGCTCTTTGGGTGCGGGGTCTGAATCAGTGGCTCTCTCCTGTGCTGTGGTTGTCTGCCACCCCAGCTGGGTTTCCTAACTGTATCCAACATGCAAGGCTCGGGTGTAAGAGTGAAGTGTGCTGCCAATTTTAAATAGAAAAGAAGTGGGACTCAGGCACCCAAAGTTTGGAAGGCAGTGGTAAGTCGATCCAGGGGAGGTCTACTGATACAGTTGCACCACTCCCTCCCTCCCTTTGATCCCTGCTCCACACGAACTTTAAAACCAACCACCTGGGAGGGGTAGCAACATTTCAATTCAGGTCCTGCTGATCATGGCTTATCACACCCCTGAATCCTACTGATTTGTCCATTCCACCAGTGTAAGCAACCCTTTTAATGGTCTGGATGATTTGCTATTCAAACTATCCTTTCCTCTGAAATTTTGCTGTTAGCCATTCCTGGTAATGTTTCTCATCTATTTCACAGCCCTACAGACTATTTTTAGAGTGTCTCCCTCAGCCAAAATATCTGGAAGGAAGATCTTGTACCTGGCATTACAGAAAACAATCCTGGTGCTTGGCCCTGTTCCCTCTGAGAATCAAGCTAACTTAGCATATGGGCTATAGGGAAGAGACCTGCATTGCTGGCGGCCAGCACAACATCCCTGATAACAGCACAAGACTTTTTGGTGGTTTATTTCCCCCTCTGTGCTGTAACCACTACTCATTCTGTGGCACTTTTCATGATTATTTTTGCCCAAACCTTCTGGCTAATTTCTAATGTGGGCCATTACATCAAGCAGCCAACCACCTGCAACCTGTTCCTGATTACATACAAGCATAAAACTTCACCTAAAGAAAGGTAGACTGAACTGCCCTTATTACCCATAGCCTTCCAGTCTTTAGTGCTGCCCTGTTCATTATTGTCTGTTTTTCTCCCATAGCAAACATGAGACAGGGAAAATAAATAGCTCAGAGATGCACTCATTTGTAATAAAGAGAGAACAATAGTGTGTTAGTTTAGAAGTGGGGCAGAGTGGCAGACTAACCTTGGATACTAACTTGTTCAGAGGCAGAAGCTTTAGGAACCGACGCCGTGCTCTCGTAGATGTTAAGCGATGCACTGTTTCTGCAGCTGGCCATCTTTAACCTGAGCACAAATCACTCTCATTTTCTTTTCCTGCTCTCATACTCTTCTAGCCTGTTGTCCTGACATAATTTCTGCAGAACCCGTGTCAGGCAAATCACCTGTGACCGTTGTAAATCCCACTAGGTATCAGCTTCCCTAGCTACTGTATGGGAAAGGGGCCCACACATGTGATAGTTTAGCTTCTGTGTTGGTCTCTCAATGAAATAGCTATTGTGCCATTGCCCATCTTTAGAAATGGACAGCAGAAGTCAGGAAGCTGGAGGAGAGGATACGGACACTGGTGAAGGAAAATGAGAAGCTACAGCATCAAGTCAACCAGGAGCAGAGTGCAAATCCCAACTCTAGATTCTGCACCATGGTGTGATTCAGCAGAGGCACAATGCTGCCAGAGCCAAGTGGGCTCAGGAAGGGAGAAGCAGGTAGGAGAAGGGGGAGGGGAAACACTTTGTGTATAGATTTTGAAAATTCATTTCACTAAAGAGCGTTATCTCAGTAACTCAAGAGATAACTTCACTTGGCCACATATTAGTTGCACACTGTCCTACAATTGATGGTTTGTGGTAGAACATTTGTTATCCAAGTTTGACTGAACCTCTAACGAGGCAGGATGGCATTACACCCTTGGGAAGCCACTGATAATTCTGAACATTGTGTTACATCTCCAAGCGGTTAGCAAGAGAATGTACTTACCTCGAGGAAGTATAGTTCCTCAAGCTGGCCTAGTCAGTTCACTTTATTATAGCTAAACAGCCACCACGTGAGCATGTGCTTTTCATGCTTTGGCCAGGGGAGGGATGTCAGCAACATTACAATGGAGCACCACTGTTCAATGTGGCACCCAATTTTCAGCTGGGTCTGTGTTTTAAGTCATCAAACATGTGCAAGTTGTTCCCTGCCTTACAATTTCAGCTGCTTCAAAAGCAGGGGAGAACATTTCTTGGGCCCTGGTGGAGTAGAGCGAGCCTTACTAGCCGGTGGGAGAGGTACCCTAGTAGTAGTGCAATGCAAGGCAGTATCTGTCCTGATGCATGGCTATTTTACTGCAAAATCTAAGGCTTCCTTGCATTCCTTACCATTTGGTGCAGTTCCCTGACCTCAGCAATCATTTAGATTTGTCCTTGGATGGGTGACTGGGGTTTACCGTGGGATGACCCTAGCTATGCACTAAACTGCGTTTGTGTTTGATACTTGAGTAGATGGCTCAGATGCTAGGTTTCTTTGGCTTGGAGCTGGTGCTCAGACAGTTTAACCATCCTTGGCTTCCAGCATTTCCAGCATGGTGTTTGAGATCTCAGCACCAAGACATTTTAGATGGCTTTTTTGCAATGGAACCTGCAGTACTGTCTCGTCACTGGGGGACTTCAGTTGATACTGTTCTTGACTCAAACGTGGAGGATGTCTCTTCTCCAGGATCAGATGCAATTCTCATGTTTTGCTCAAATCCAATACATTTTGAGATCTCAACTCCTGACTTTTGAGTGCAAAAGGAAGAGTGGAAGCATATGGGATCCCTAACGAAGATACAGCCTCCCCAAGGCCTGAGAGGGTATCCATTGTGCTCACTGATAAAAACCAAAACCTGTATAAAACCACTGCTTTGAGAACAGGACTTAAAGCCTCTGGGTTTAGTTTCCCCATGACAGCTGTTAATGCATGCACGTGCAATATTTCTGCACAGTACAGCAGGGTGTGAGGGGTTCTGTCCCTCCCCACCCCTCACTTTGGGAGATCATTACAAGGAAATGAAGAGGGGCTGCTTTACAAACAACATTTAGGCTGTACCCCCTTGCCACAGATCGTACCAGGGAACCAAGGATGGGTCAGGAAAGCTCTGCCTTTACACCTGTGAGAGGTGTATGGTTCAACATATGGAGTATGTGGGGTTCACAAGGACACTATTCAGAAACTCCAACCTCACACCCATGAGGAACCTATGGCAGAATCCACAGCAACACACACAGACTATTTCGCGTGTAACTCGCATGTGAAAACCTAAGCTTTAGGAGAAATATTTTCAAACTACTTCAATTTGGACACTTGGAAATCAAGTATGCAGAGGTACAGAGTTGGCAGGTGCACTCCTCACACAAACCTGAGACAGTCTTTTTGCCTTGGTTAACAGCAGCAGCTCAGAGTCCCAAGCCAGCCACACTACTGACATCTTTGCATATACATTACTGCTACAGTTCCCAATAAAGATGGGAAAGCAGCAAGGTAAAGCCCATTTTACCCATTCTGAAGTGCAGAAAGATAGCTGGAAAGAAAATGCCAGTCTATGGCTCAATAAAGAGAAGGTAACTCATTATTTAGCTACATCTTTTATTCCCTGTTGAAAAAACATGTCCCACCTCATAAATCCCATTTCTTGCTGGATTTTATTAATACTGGAGGATGGGACATCGATTTTTCCACAAGACACTACTGCACAGTAGTGCTAAGTTACTGCACAGTCAGCATCTTGTGTAGATGTGGCTAATGGATAGAAACACTTCTCTTTTGGGCCACTGAACACAACCCCAGCCTGGAATTAGGAACGGCAGTGCCAATGCTCATAGATGGAACAAGAATTCAGTGACTTACGATTAAAAGTCCTAAAACCCGATCTTCAGCCGTAGATGATCTAGATTTTGCTTCTGTATAAAACCTCAAGGAAGTGGTTACCACTGACTACTTTGAAATTCAACAAAAAGGAAAAAACAGCAGTCAGCCACATGGAAATGAGTGCTTGAGAACAGATGCATGGGGAGCCTGCTACAACAGCAGCTGATTAAAAGAGCTGGAGCACTTACTAGAAAAAAATCCAATCCTAATGAAGGAAAGCCCAACGTTCTGTGAATTATGCTCAAGCTATAGCCCTAGTGACACCTGCAGAAACTCTCACTGACTTCCTTGTGATTAGAGTTTGACTTTTAGTTCACAAAGCATGCAACAGGAAGGCAAGCTAGTCTGAAGTCATCTTATCAGCTACTAGCCATACAGAATCTAAGTGGTGACTACAAGAACGGGCAGAGGCAGGCTGATTCAAAAATAAACAGCAGAGAGGTGCAGGGGGAAGGAAAGCGGAAGACAGAAAAGTGGTTCCTGTTCTACACTTGTTTCCATCAATGACAAAAATGAGACACCAGATTTCACAAGCTGTTTGGCAGTGTCAGTAGGGCTGCACCAGAGATATTTCAGTACTATATACAGACAGCATACCAAAAAAAGATGATCACCCCAATGGACATCACACATTTGAAGCAGAGGGCAGAGAGTTACATTTAGATTATACAACACACTTTACTTTAGTCTGTTTCCTGGAATCCAAGAGAAACTCAGTAGCCTCTTTGCAATTTTTATTACTATTTTACAAATTGTGATTAAATTAGTTATAAACTTCCAGCCAAAATAATAGAAAATATTCTTAGAAAAGAAAATAAAGCCATGGCAAAGATACAGGAACCCCTCACTATTCGCGGGTTTGGCATTCGCCGTTTCAAATACTGATGAATGCCAAACCCGCATTTTAAATACACTTTATACACTTACAGAAGCTCCTTGGGAGCTCTGCTCTTGCTGCCGCCGGAGCCGTGCCTGCCCCCGCCAGCTGCCAGGGGCACTGCGTTCATGAACACAATGCCTTATTCGCAGATTTTGCCATTCGTGGGAGATACGAGAACGTATCTCCCGCGAATGGCAAGGATGGCCTGTACTATGTGAGGTCACATTGTAAAAGAATTAGCCAACTTATGGCGTGTGTATTTCAATATACAGAACATATAAACTGAATTAATATTTATTATAGGACTGTTATAATGGCACATACATATCATTCAAGAAATTCTTACCAAGATTCTTGTCAAGAATAACAGCTTTAAACTTTTAAAGAAATCTATGTTGTATCAAAGAACAAAGCGTGGAGGGCTGTAATAAGGGCACGGTTTTAAGTGAGATTTCACGTTATTAGAACATGAGTTTGGGAGTCAAACTGTGCAAGGGTTACTACTAAACTGTTTGAGACATACAGCTTACCCCAAACTCTAATGAACTGAAGAGTACTCAGTCTGACACTAAATAAAGAAAATTTAGTTCTTCTAGTTACTGAAGACGAACTTTGTTGCTTACACTGTGACAAAAAGCTGAAAAAGGGTATCACATCACGTTTCCCATCAGACCATTTGCATTATCTCATCCCCACCTTTGTGCAATTTTGAGCATAACATCACTGGGCAGTGCACATCTAAAGATTAAATCAAATGGTGTTGCAAGCAAGTTGCTACACCCACCCTTTAGGAAAACAGCACTTTGTGTGACATTCTCAGTGCAGGAACACACACATTCCTGCAGTACAAAGGAAAGGAAAGGAAAGACCTGTCTTTAAAGAGTGAAACAAAAACAAAAAAAAGGAAAGAGAACCTTGAACTGTTCAAAATTAGAAGAATGTGTTGCGATTCAAGGCAGCATATGAAAAACAAGTCACTCTCTTTTCTTCAACACCCCCTTGATGCAAGGAGTTAAGAATTCCCAGCCCAATAAGCAGCACCAGCATATGCTGGCATTATAAAGGGCTAAAAATAAAAAAAATAAAAATCACACTACATTCAGGCAGAGATAGGCCTTCCTGATCCTGTGGCCTTTTAACATGATCACAAGTTAATTAAATCCCTGCAGAGAAAAACGTCACAGTTTGAATCAGTTGATTATGTCCAAGACTAACTCTTCTGTGCCAGGAGTACAATTTTCCTGGTTAAAAAGTTCTTTGCCAACAATAAATGCATGAAAAAAACACCAGTACTGAAGTGTATTAAACACCAGTTTTAAAAAGACAGGCTGCATAAAGCAGAATAAACTGACATCCAAACTTCTGCAGTACAGCTTAAGAGCAGGTTTGAAAAAAGCTGCAGAATTTACAGATAGTACAACTGTACGATAATACCTGTGCTGCTCCAAAACAGATGGCTTGGAGGAAGCAACCTAAATAGTAATGTTTCCAAGTACAAATTCATGCTAGTATTACCATGCATCATTAAGAAATTGTGTGTGGCTAGATTCTTCCTAGCATCCTCAATCCCATCTCAGCACCTAGCCTTCTTGACTTTGTTTCTCTTCTCAAAGGTAGTAATAATGGTAGAGAAGGCCTGGAGCTGTATGTGCCATGATGAGGTCTTCTTAGGGAGTAACCAGGATCCATAGAGGGGGCCATAAAACAAGAAAAAAAGAAAGTTTGGAAAATAAAATGGGGACAAAATTTCATAACAAAATTAGAAAAGCATAATTTTAAAAAGCCCAAAGCTGATAGTTTCATGCTATTGCTGTAAGAATGCCTGGAAGTCTAAAGGAAGGCTCTTCTCTTCTAGTGAAGATCGACCTAGAGAGGGAAACAAAGGGGGCGAATTACCTTTGGTTGAGAGCAGCAGAGTGAAAGTGCATAGCTCAGAAAGGATTCAGCTTGGCCTGCAGTGGCATGACTAAGTATAGTGCTCTGCATTTGCCTTTACTCAAGCAGCACCCTGTTAGCCTCTAGGAGCATTACAGGACTGTTTAAGAAGAAATGCATTATATATACCTCCTTGAAAACAAGTTCACTCTATGAAACAGCATTCAAATAAACTAGAATAGGGGTTGACAACCTATGGCCTGCAGGCTGGATCCAGCCATTTCATCCGGCCTAGAGCACCAAGGGGCTTCAATGGCACAATGGCCGAAAGCAGCAGTGGTGACATTGTGGGTGGGGAGTGGTGGCTGTGGCACAGGCTGTGTTGGAAATGGTCTGTGCTTCGAACTAAGGTCTGTTAAAGTGCCCCCCCTCCACTCCAACATGTTATTTACCCCCAACCTAAAATCCATGTTTTGCAAACCTGAAAAATAAAACCAAACTCTCTCCTCTTTGGCTGAGCTGAAGCACTTTGTCATAGGAGTCAAAATCTTGTTTCCTTGGGCCAACTATTAAAAACTGAATTGAGCTCAGATATATGAGCCCATATATTTCCTCATCAAGTTGGTGGTGGGATCGGAGGTATTAACACAGAAGTAAGTATCATTCCCTATGGGAAGTCGCTTTTTTATTTTGTTCATCTCCTCGAACGTGGCCTCACAGTGGCCGGATGCCTCCATGCAATCCATAGTATACGTAATAACACAATGGGAGGCATCCCAAGATACTTGTAAGACACCAAGGGATCAAGACAACTTCATGGAGGGAAGAAGTGGTTCACAGAGTATTTCTGTAATAAAACTGTTAGTAACCTGATTTGTAATACA